CAAAAATACTGAATCAAAATTTCAGAAGCCGTTGCCATATTATGATTCGTACATTAAAGCAAAAAATATGTAAAAATGTTTGATAAGCCCACGGGATCGTAATTGGAATCTTCCACTATTACTTATATGTGTAAGGCCTCATATAGAAATAGGTTTCGGATCAAGTTGCCTTATAGGGTTGTCATCTATCTTCTGAAATAAATATTAAGGTTCTTTTTTAAGGGTGGCTCACGCGCACATAGACACACCCATCCACCCATTACAGCCTATTAAAGTCCACTGCTGAACGTAGTCCTCTCCATGGATTGATATTTGTCATGCTTGGCAAGCGGGTTCGTAATCTAATAAGAAGTTACCAGTTGGCAAAAGAAAGAAATGAGATTGCGTCGGAAACTTGAAGAGTTACAGCTACAATTAAATACATGCCATTGCTTGACTTGGACAATCGGAATCTCAATTTTGAGTAATGGAGCAGTTTGTATGCCGTGTTGTTTCAGTGCGCATTGGCGGAATTTACATTACATGCCCTCGAAATAATAATATGTCGGGAATCACCCTCGACGTCAAAAATATGTGACCTTCGCAGTTGACAGTATATCAATGTATTTGAAAGTTATTCATAGATTATTATAATCGAAATTAGGCAAAAATTGTCATCGTTCTTATAGTTCAGAATAACTAAAATCGAAATATCATTTTTTATACAAATATGCGTGAACACACAGTCCTGATGGTGAGTGTATGTTGTAGTTTATAGCCACCTCCACTAATCCAACTACTCGATTAGGAATCAAAATGCTGACATGTTTTCACTTCTTAGGACTAGTAACTAGTTACTTCACTTCGTAGTAAAAAGGTCTCCGGTTCTCATCTATAAATATACGAAACAGAGTAGAATTATTTTACTCTTATATTTTGTGAGAGCGTGCTCATTCCCCGGTCCGTTTGTGTTACAATTGTACTTCTGCTGCAACTTACTTACTTATCTTCACGCACAATCCCTAACGGGGTAGCCAGAGAGAACAGATCGCCAAGTGTCACGATCCTTACATACCTCTTTCGCTTCTTTCAGGTTCATTAACTTCTTCATACATGCACGTCTAGGTATCCGAGTACTCTTGACCTTCCCCTCTTCGAGCAATTTGCTCACATGGTCTTTGAAAGTTAGTCTCGGTCTACCTCGACACCTTTTAATATTTACTTTCGCTCTATATATTTTCTTCACCATTCGGTCTTCACTCATTCGCTCAACGTGCCCAAACCATTGGAGTACGCCCCTATCAATTTTTGTGATAAGGTCATCTTTCAATCCTGCCATATTGCGAATCTCTTTGTTTCGCTTTCGATCGGCTATGGTAACGCCACACATTTTAGGAAGAGATCGTATCTCCATTCAACTTGCTTTTATGCTTCTTCCGGCATACCCAGGTTTCGCTGCCATATCACACAGTCGGTACCAACACTGCGTTATGTATTGCAAGGCGTGCACTCTTCACCACGCCTTGCCTTTTTACTAATGCATTCAGGGCACCATTGACTTTGTTTCCGGCAGCGACACGCCTATCCACATCTAAATCACATCTTCCATGTGATTTAGATGTGGATAGATTATACATATAGATAGATTCTGCTGCAACCGTGTATAAAATATAAAATTTCGAAATCCTTCATTCTATATATACGTCGACACATCTATAAAATATTGGTTAGGTAGAGAGTAAAAAGGTTTTACTCTAAGGAAGCGCCGTTTCGTTCGTAACGTCATCGGGAAGCGTATCATATATTTGCAACGAATTGCTAACGATTTGTTTATTGTATTTTCTTGTATTTTCTGTCGTAACGCACGCACATTTGCGCCATCCATCTGAAGAATCTAAACATGATCCTTTTCCCCTACATAATAGATATATATAAATACTGACTGACTGACTCATCACGATAACACTAAAACTATACACCCGATTGACTTGAAATTTAGTATAGTTACTCATTACGCAATTTGACGCTCACTAAGAACGGATTTTACGATAGTCCCATCAAAAAAATCTTGATATTTTACATCTACGTTATTATCGTCTATTATCGTGCGCCCAGCGCAGCGAACGGGTACTAGCTAGTCTAAGACATATTGTAAAGATAATACAAGTATATAAAAAGAAGACTAAATCAACTCACAGAAAACCGGCGTAAAATAGCAGCTTAAGACTGCTGTGTTTCGTATGGTGAGTGTAGAGAACCGGAGACCCTTTATACTGGAAGGGAGGCATTCCATCTTAGTCCTCACGTGTGACAACGCATCTACATTTTGATTATTAATGGAATGTAGATGTCTATGGGCCACAGCATCCATTTATCATCAGGTGGACTATGTGCTCGATTGTCATCCTTATCCTATAAAAAAACTATGTATTTTAATTTAAATGTATGTGTATAATATGTATCTGTTTCTATGTCCGCCTGTTACTATTTAATTAGGCGATTGATCGGTTGCGTTACGCAATTCATCAGAATTGTAATTGTAATAATATCACAGGGTATATTATTACAATTACAATCATCAATAAAATAAATACTACTGACATAAAATGTCTGAAACTTGCGTTAACTTTGTGGTTTGTGTATTGTATCCCTTAAAAGTAGTAATTAATAAATACATCTTAAATATAAATAATTTATCTATGAAATATATATTAGTTAAACTACTGCTATAGTAATTTGCTTGTTAGTGTATATCGAACACAAGTAACAATAAATACTTCGTTCCGGCTGTCAAGATCAGATGAACATTGCAACATCTATCTTACTAAAACTGATCGCCGAACATAAATCGGACAAAGATGTATGCGTTTACATATATTATAGGTTACAACTAAGGAAGACGGTATGATAGCTACATCCACATTAATAGCTTCATCGATTTCTATACATATATAAATTTTCTAAACTATTTAAATTAGGCATTGTCTTTCTAACAACGAACGAAGTTGAATACTAAAATATTTTTTTTAACAAAACGGCGATGTTAAAATTTTTCTTACTTTCTTTTTTTTTTAAGATTGCCACCGAGATTGATTGAATGATTTTATATATTAAGTGTCAACACACCTTATATTGCCACTATATAATATTTTAATATATTAATATAATTTAATATATATTTATTTTAATATATAGGGAAGGAACTGACTCCTGAAATACAGGGTATCCTAGTTTGGGAGTCAGGGCTCAATGATGTTGTATGAAATTATAAGTGTCAAATAAAGAAATTATTAGTATTATTATAAAGCGTGTGCATGTGGCAATGGGCCGAACATATAGGATGGGCCGAAAATAGGTTAACGAGTGACAGCCCCATACCGGTAAACAAAGTGTAGGGGTGGCCCACCACTTTTTTTATAAATTCTATTCAGTACTAGCGGTCTGCCCAGGCTTGCACGGTTGGTATCTGGATTCTACAACAGCGCCACCTACCGGGCCCAACTATGCCTATACCCTTCGCAGATGTGCAAGCAATATGTTGACAAAGTTTTACCGCAATCTGATTAACGGTATGGCAGCGCATATAATACGAACAAACAAATATTAATCTTTATATATTAAATAGATTGACTGCCTCGTTGGTCTAGTGGTTGTAATAGTGCGACTGCTGATCATGAGGTCCTGCGTTCAAATTCCGGGTCGGGCCACAAAATTAATTGTGAGTTTTTCCGTCAAGAAATTCTCAGTAGCTGCCCGGAGTCAGCAAGTTGGCGGTGTCCTCACCCCCGTGCCTCGGAAAGCACGTAAAGCCGTTGGTCCTGCGCCTGATCTCTCTCCGGTCGTGTCGGTTTACCGTCCCATCGGATTTTGAGAGTGAGGGAATAGAGAGTGCATCTGTGCTTGCGCATACACTTGGGCACTATAATCCTGTCCTGCGCCGATGGCTAGTCTCCGTTGAGGCAGGCCGCCGTGACCGAAATTAATTAGATAGATTACAAGAATATTTATTGAAAGTCTGCAATTACAATTAGAAACAATAAGGAAAAAAAATACAATTAAGTATCAAAAAATTTTGAAACAGCATGTAAGCGATCCCCTCATTGTTAATCATGTACTCTTTAGGATTCAATTAAACTGCATTAAAAACAATCATAATTAAAGTTGCAAACTTTTTGATAGATAGGTCCTGAGGTCCTGCGTTTTTTCTGGAACTTTGTTGCAAAAGCGTATACATTGCCCCATGAAGGAATTACTGACGCTTTGAAGTCGAGTAACTGGTATTACTAACTTGCGTTTGTTCCTATTATTTACAAAATGTATCATTATTTTTAATAAAATATTTTTTTTTATTTTTGTGTACATGCATAAAAACATGTAAATATACCGAGATGCTAAATTTCATATATTTATTTATTTTAACATTTCTCTGTAACCACTTTGGACCTATATTAAAAATCGCTCTTATGGCTTTCTTCTGCAAAACAATGATAGTATCAACGTCGTATTATCCCAAAACAAAATTACATATGAAATTATCAAACAAAACACGAGGAATGTTATTCTTCTTTATTTATTAAGTCTAAAAGCTAAATAAAACCGTTTGGTTACGTATGCGCAATGTGATATATTATGTATTCCTGCTATCATTTGATTCATCCGTATTATCGTTTAAGTCTTTATCCGGAATTCGTCGTAGGCGTTACGCATTATTGATTACATGGGGGGGGGGGGGGATATTACTATGCACTTTCCGTTCATCCTTTGTTTAGTGAATGAATTGTCATCAGATGTGGCAGACGTTGCGTTTGAAATAAACTCGCTTACTACTTGTTAATCTACGTGAAGATTTATACGATTCTGATCACGTTTTAAACATAAAACATAGTCGGTCCCAAACTGGTCGTTCTATTTTACCTTCGATTATAATTAGTGTCGTGGGAGCGTCGATAAAGTCGATAATAGTAATTCGAAGTTCAAATACGTATGATTGTTAAAAGTGTATCGTTCAACCGAAAATGGTGATGGAGTCGGCTCAGCACAACGGGCGTTTTTGGCCCTTATCGCCCCGTTTGTGGCGTCGGAGTACCGAGTACTCAAAAGTAGTTTTCGAACCTCGACGACCGCCTACATCGCCGATCGAGATAAGGAAAAATAGAATAGATCTGACACCGGACCTGCTACGGTCTAGAAGTTTCATCAAAGATAAACTGGATCATTTGAACCTCGAAGAGGAGGTGGAATATGAAGATAGTCGAATCGAAGAGAAAAAACGATGGAGTGTCGAGACAAAAAAACCTCCAATTAAAGAAACGAAAAAAAACGAAGAAGTAGTAAAACTAAGGGCAAAGAAGCAGAGGCATCCGCGACCAAACAGCCTACAATTGTTACTGTGCCCATCAAGCTCTGGTCATTACAGCAGCAACACTTGGAGATACACCAGAGTACGTTCCAAAAGGTTTGTAGTTTTTATTACTTCTCCTTCATATAAATCCAAATAATGAATTCGTTCTTAACAGGAATATCATGTTAAAACGTTAGCTCTAAATCACATTGCTATTCGCTTAGCATCTTTTGTACCTCACCTATCTCAGAAGACTATCTATTATAAAGGGAAAGCTAACGAAGTGATTGAACGATAGCGTATCGATTCTGGACTATCATTATTCAGCTATTCGAAGCAATTAAATCAGCTATACTTTCCCCTTCTCTCGTGAATGTCTACACGCCTCACAAAATTCTCGGGCTGAGTGGGCCGCGTGTGGGCGGTACGGTCTTGACAACACCCTGGCACCACATATTTGCTGTCGGACCATCGCATCGGCCCTAAATAAAAATTTCGTAACGCCCTGACGTAGTGTCATTTGTTCATATGCTAACAAACTATCAGTGAAAATAGCTACTGTGTATCTGTAACACAAATGGGCGAAAACAAACAAATTCAAAACGATTTGTTGTTTATTCGTTGTCTTAATAGAATGTATTTGTTTCTTTTTCTTTAAATCTCTTTTAAATTTTATTTGAATATTTATTTTTTGTGATTTCGGCCAATTACTTTTCTTTTAAATGTTTCAGTACTAAAAGTATCGCGAGAATTTGCAAAATACTTTTTAAACGACTTCTTTTGTATTGTTAAAAAGTATATTAAGGCCCACTTCTGGGCTCACTACTCTCAACTTTGGGAGGGTTTTAGAACAAGGCGTTGCCTTCATACGCGTTGGCGGACGTTACATGTCTTAGAAAAATATATTTTATTATATTTTAGATATTTATTATATTTTACAGCCGTGGTAGCTCAGTGGTTAACGCTCGCTGTAAATATAACAGAACGCGAGTAACCCGGGTTCGATCCCCGCCGGCACCAATGAAATTGTTAATTGCAATTTTAAGTGCTGATTTACCACGTGCTCGGCGGTGAAGGAAAACATCGTGAGGAAACCTGCATGTCTGAGGAATAAGAAAAAAAAATATATTTCGAAGACATGTGAAGTTCGTCAACACGCATTTGGGCAGCGCGGCGGACACTTCCTTGCCCTAAACCCTCTCAGAAATGAGGGGAGGCCTGAGCCCAGCAGTGGGAAGTATATAGGCTGTAACTTTACTTTACTATATTTAAGATTTCTCAGACATGCAGGTTTCCTTACGATGTTTTCTAAATTTTGTAAATTATCATTAAAATTGCAATTATTAACTTCATATAGGTGCCGACGGGGAACTTTGGGAGGGTTTTAGAACAAGGCGTTGCCTTAATACGCGTTGGCGGTCGTTACATGTCTTAGAAAAATATATTTTATTATATTTTAGATTTCTCAGACATGCAGGTTTCCTTACGATATTTTCTAAATTTTGTAAATTAGCATTAAAATTATTAATATTATGTATATTATAATTATTAACTTCATATAGGTGCCGACGGGGATCGAACCCGGGTTACTCGCGTACTCTGAAGTTTACAGCGATCATTTAGAGCCTGAGCCACCCCGCAGACTTTGTATTAGTGTTTGAACTTAATTCATAAAATGCACTCTTTAAAGCTTTTGCTTTGTGAAGTCCCAGCTTAGGCACAACTTTTTTGAAGGCTTCCTGCAATGATGGAAACTACGGCTTCTTTCAAATATTTTTAACGTTAATATTAATTGCAAATAACAATAGAAACAAGTTTATATAATCTTTTAGATATCCTCAGCTGTTTTTCACTTTAGCTTATACCTTGATATACGTAACGAAATCAGTCAACACCAGCAAAGATATTACCTAAAATTTAACGTTCGCGAATTTCATTCGTCAATAACAGGTTTTTGTCCGTTTTCACCTTTCGCAGCCTGAAAGTGACAGATATCACTTTACGATACAAATTGCACAAGTCACAAGTGATTATGTTTGTCCAATATGGAAAAGTGTAGGTTATTTAGTGCGTATTAATGTAGTAATTTAATTAAAACCTTGTGCATATCAAATACATAATTCTGCTGAAGCTGAAGGTAGACCTCTCCCCCCGTTGATTGGCTCATATTTGGCATGGGGTTGGCAACCGCAGTTTTTTTATTGTTTAGTTATACTACTCATTTCTGTGTCGATATAACTAACAAACTTTTTCTTACCATGTAGTCCGGTGTAGGAATATCCACTACACCATATCGTACCGTGGGTGCCGTAAGAGGCGACAGAGGGAAACTAAACCAGAAGATGGGCAGCAGCATCTTTTCATCTGCAGCAAACCGCTTGCAAAGTGTGGCAACTATGGCAAATGTCCCCATAATGATGTCATCTATGGGATAGGCCAATGTTCGGCCGTGGACTTTTAATGGTCGTGAAACCTAATTGTTTTGCAACGTGATAACGGAGCATTATTTAAAATATATACGAGTGGGCGTCATTATTTCAGCAAGATAAGAAAACTTAATTGATTGAACGCAATCATCTACTTTCCTATACACTTTAAGAGTTATGAAGTTGAATCGTATTTTAACATGGAATTTAGCTCGTCAACTTTAACGCACTTTGTTATTACCTATGAATGTGTCTTTGCTGTTACAGAATAATGTAATTGCATTGAGATTATTGATACAACTTAATCGGGTTACGGCGAGTTAATTGCTATGTGAGCAGGAGTGGGTTTATTAATTATTTCATTAATGACGCGCTGCAAATGCTCGGCTCAGTCTTTTAATTGACTATTACTTAAGAGAGATCTGAGTGATTTTAACAAATAACGATATAATTCTAATAAAATAATCAAAAATAACCAAGCTCATGGTCCCCCCCCCTCCCTTTGTATGAAGAGGCTAATTTACAAAAATGGACTATTTACGGGCTAATGCGAAGATCATCAAATTGATAATTTTTAAAACTGGTATTTAAAGTTGCGATATTTTAAATATTCAATGTTTAAATAGTGTTCAATTTATCCCTACCTTATTTTTGACGTTTTTAACTTATCCGCAACACACATGAGTTACGTCACCTTACAAAACTTAAATGATTTTATATATAATCTAGCGATTCTCCTCGGCTACGCACGGGTGATTTCTCGATCTCGAAAACAGCGATGTCTACCGGATCCAAATGTAAATTTAAACCTTTCAGGAACCCATTCGAACATACACAAAAAAATACGTCTTACTCATCAAGCCGTTTTTAAATTTTAGGGAGTCGGAAACGGACAGCATTTGATTTTTTTTTCATTGATATTTTTTTATATAATATAAATATAACATTTTATTTAAGAATAAAGTTAAAATACTATTATGGAAATACAATCGTCATTCAGGAGCAGCTCGCTCAAAAAACACATTAAAATCTGATTAAATCTCTGTTACAGTTATTAACAAAGTGCAACGGAAAATAGAAAATCCATTGTTCCCACGAGACTAATTTTGATAGTAAAATTATTATTATTTCATTGAAAATTCTCATTAAATGTACAATTAGTCGGGATTTAAATACATTTAAATGATTTCGTTTAATGATTTGCAATTTTTAAATACATTTAAATGATTTCGTTTAATGATTTGCAATTTTTAAATACATTTAAATGATTTGCAATTTTTCGGTTCGCTACATCCATGTTAACCACGCCGATTACTGAACTTATTACGCATTCAAGCGGACAACGCACTTCCGACACCCCGTCATGTCTGTCGCTTGTAATCTCATATATCGCAAATATAATTTTTACGACGAACTGCCACGCGGATTCGCAAGGAGCCGTCGCCGTTATGATTTACGCTCAGTCTCAGTGATTCACCTCACTTGCGCATTCGTCGCCCGGCGCCACAGAACGACTCCTAATAAGCCGTCAAATGCTGACATCACTTGTGGCGGGAAAACGTCAGCGAAACTCCTAATATTTTTTTTAAATGTCGAACTTTCGTAACTTCCTAGCGGACGCCAAAACTAAACTTGAAAAATGGATTTTTCATATAGTATTCTGACCTTACTCAGTTTCATTAAAATTTAAAAATAATGCCATAGTGTAGTACGATAACGGAGAGTAATATTTAATATAACTTTATTTATTTATTTTTGTTTCAAATACAAGAAAAAGGGTAAAATCAGCTACAAAATCCTACAGATTTGACACTTAATATTATATTAATATTACAGAGAGTTAAGAGGGTAGACGGTCTGCACGGGAATTGGAAAGTAGGTATTTGAAGAAACTATTGCCGTCCCTCACCGCTGGTCTCCACCCGAAGAGTGCGATAGGGACAACTGCAGCTCAAAACGATTTTACATACAAAAACCATGACAATGTTTCGTATTCCCCTGTTTTCTTCACGAAAACTAAGCCGATTAAATTATTTTTGGTATCAAAATTTAAAGGAAGAATAGATCTATGCTTCAATCATTTGCTTTTATCTTAAAAACTTTTCGAATTTCTTTGGTAGTCGTCAAAAAACGGGGCATTTTTTTAGGTTTTTGCCTTCAATAGATCTAGATTTTGGTAAACAAAAACGATTACTCTAGAGGCATTATCCAGAAAGAAAATAGGGGAATACATTTGTATGAAAAAAATGCAGCCCGTCTACCCTCTTAAAATTGATTTTAAGTTTATTCGTTGCATGTCAGTAATCTCTGGAATCAGTCCTATCTCCAATTGTGAAAATTCTCCCACTGATAGAAAGCTGCACTATTCCCGATTGTATATAGTAAAAGTGTTTTTTACGTTTGCAATATATTATGGACAAAAATTTAAATCATTATGCTGTTACAATACTTTCACGCTAACGAAACTGTGCGTTTGATTTAGACTATCTATATAGTCTATATTTATACCGACTTCAAATAGGACCTACTCAATTCGTCTGTATGTTTTTTATGTGTGTTACCTCAGAACTCTTCTCTGGGTGAATCGATATTGATGATTCTTTTTATCTGAAAGCTGGTCCTTCTCGTGTCCCATATAAATTTAACCAATATTTGATCTTGAGTTATCTTTAATAATGCGTATTTAAT